CACTGAGCTGAAATCTGGAACCTAGTTGAAGAGAGGGAGGAATGAAGATCGAAGGGGTCTGTACCAGGTTGGAGAAACCCACAGAAACAGTTGGCCTGAAAAAGGGAAAACATATCAACCCCAGACGCTGTCTGGGAGGCTAGTGCGGGACTGATCCAGCCCCCTGATCATGGATGCCAATGGGGAGGCCCCTGCACTCCGGGGAGCCTATGGAGGTGGACTGGTGTTTTGCCCTGTTGTGTGTGGGGGACTTTGAGAGCCCATCCCACTTGAAGGGATGCACTCTGTCCCTGAACACATGGGGAGGGACCTAGGCCCAGCACAGGAAGATTTGGTGGACTTGGTGGAGCCCTGGTTGGGGGCCCTACCCTGCCTGGGGCTGTTCCCTAACTTGAATTAATAATAATAATAATAATAATAATAATAATAATAATAATAATAAAATAAATAAATAAACAACTCTTTACCTCCAAAAAAATAACATAATCTTCATAGCTATCCATAGCATGCAGAACCATGAAGAGACTGTGACTCCAGTGTTTCTTCCCTGCTTCAAGTATAGATGCACACATATTTGCAGTTCAGAAAGAAATATGAAAGAAAACCATCAAAATATTCCAATCAGTTCTCCTGGGATGGAAAGATTATGGAGAGTATTTTAGTATGTGCCATTTTATGTCTCTACAACTGCACAACTTACCTAGTGATCATATTTTATTTTGCAAAGTCAAAATCACAATGCAAACTCAATTATTTAAAAGTAAATATACAATAGACATATGGTATCTCAGTTGGAATGTGAAAGAGTCTGACACACAAAACCAGCCTCAACAAATGGATCATTTACATGCTTGGAGGCCCTGCTGGTTGGAGGTTGTGGTCTACCATGGCCTGGGCAAATCCTCTGAGCTTGGGAACATGGACAACTCCCCCTCCCAAAGTAGAAGGCTCCCTGTTCTCTATCTGACCTTATTTGGAGACTGTCTCTAAGCCCAGATGTCTGACTTATCTCTAGTATGACCCTGGATACAGTTCCCTATAGAAGCTTTCCCCCTGCTGCCCATATGATAATTAGACATTGTGTTAGGAGCATTACGATAGGAGTGTGCTTTCCACGAATGATAACTAATGGATAGGAGTATGCTGCTTAATACAAATTAGGTGATCCTCTAGCTACCATTCACAATCCTATATATTCCCTACACTCTGGAATAAAGCTAAGCAGATTCGTCAAAGCTGTTTCCTGGAGAGCTATCTTCATCATGCTCACAGGTCATACAAAGCTCTCTGTTGTCACTTCTGTCCCTTGTCCTTCATAGATGGACAATAGGCCATGAGGATAAAGAGGATCCCCACATTTACATAGACCTCAAACCCTTAAAGGAATGGATTCATGTACAGAACATTAGGAATGTGCCATGCTCTCTGTGAGAGGGATGGTACCTTTATTTAATGTGACTGATGCCTAGATGGCCCTCTCTTTCCCAAGGACCTTGAACAAAGTCCTCTTGATTTCCTTGTTCTGAATGCTATAGATGATCAGTTCAAGCATAGGTGTTGAGGACCACATGAAGCACTGAAAACACTCAGTCTTGCAAGCCAGATCTGGAAAGGATGTATCAAAGAACTGAAGTTAGGTAGAAAATATATACCATGATAATATTGGCGCCCACCACAGGTAGAAATGCTTTTCTTAGGCAGAATTAATGCTGAGAACAAGCAGCCAAAATATGTATATGGGAGATCACAACTAGGGCACAGGGTGTAAGAGCCACCAGAAAGCTGAGGAAAAACAGGGCAAGTTCATTGGCCTATGTGCTGGTGTGGTGACTTATTGTATGCTGGAGCAAGAGAGTTTCAGTAAGGGAGGTAGATCATGGAAGTGCGTTATAAGGCAAGGCCCACAGAACTTGAGTAGGGAATACAAAAGTGATATGAGTGGGTGCATTAACATACCATATGAAGCACATGAAGTACCATGTTGGAGATATAGGCAACATCACACAGAAAAAGGTTGCCCAAGAAGTACATAGGAGTGTAGAGTTGGTAGTCTATGACAGTAAAACTGACCATATCAAGGTTCCCAATTATAGCCAGCAGATATATCAGCAAAAAGATGGTGAACAACAGTGACCTCAACCCCTCTGTGTCTGTCAGGGCTTCGAGAAGAAACTAGAACACCAGGGTTACATTTCCCAGGTGCATGGAAAAATGCACAGAAATCTGAACCTGTAGGGTCCAACCCAGAGTCAGATGAGGGTATAGGTGTGAAGTAAGAGTAGGGAAAGGTCTGAAGACAAAGTAGACATGTTTCAGACTTAAACAAATGAGACCTAGATTGGGAAGAATGAAGTTAGTCTCAAAAGACCAAGGTTAAAGCTAAGAGAATACAAACTGTAATCCCCTCAGCCTTCATACCAAGAACTATATAGACTTTGAAGTTGCAGGACTGAGTGTCCTCTTGGGGGATATCAAAGCCAATCTTCAAATACCTACTATCTAATTAATGGACTGATTCTTGTAACTATATGAAATGGCTATATTATTTCACTGTCACTAACTCAAGAGAACCTCATTTAGGATCAATAGTAAGAAATCAGTAAGTCCCAACCTTCAGCTCAAAACTTTTCAATACCTTCCATTTCTATCAAGGCTAAAACCAAAGTTTCCCCCATGACTCAAATGACCTTCTGTGCTTTGATATATGCTCTCATCTCCTATCTCATCACTAATGTTGAAACCTATAGGCTTCTTCCCCCATGCTGCATCTTCAGATAAACCCAGTGAATCCTACATCTTTGCATAAATAAGCCTTGGTGGAAGAGGGCTCCACCTTCCTATCTACCAAAGGCCAAATTCTCCTTCTGCTATCTGCATCTCATCCTTTGACAATCAAACGCATATATGAATGCACTAAAATGCTACAAAGTTGTTCACCTTAAAATGATTTCATGTCGTGCCACATTTACTTTAATAAGAAAAAGCAAAATAAAGGACTTTTAAGACATACAAAATCAGGGAGAATTTATTTTAAACAGATACCTGCATTACATGAAATGTTAAGGATCACTCTTTACAAGAAAATGTGATAATACCACATAGAAATTCGGATTCCTTCCCCCTATACCTCCCTGACCTCTCCTGAGCCCTACTACTGCCCAAGGTCCCCATCACCCGAGGATCTCTCTGGGCCTGTGGATGCAGAGAGTGGTCCCCCCTGCATAGAGTGGACCCGCCCAGACAGGAAGGACCTCGGTGAGTTTGGAAATACCTCACTCTCCCTTCCCCCTTTGCCGCCCCAAACTCTCCTGAATGAGGAGACTACCAGGCGAGGCAAGACCATCCATATCTGCAGACATTGTAGTCTTGGCCCACACACACACTACCGAGTGACAAGAGGAGATAGAGAGACCCCACCTGCATACACTGGAAGAACAGAAGGGAAGAAGGCCGAATAAGAACACACTCAACAGAAAGACCAATATGACACCACCAGAATCTAGGGACTCCATACCAGCAAGATCTGAAAAGCACAAAACAGATGAAGAAGAGACAGATCTAAAAATCTACTTCATGAGATGTTCGAGACCATTAAACAGGAAAGAAGAAAATCTCTTAAAGAAATAGGAGAAAGAAAAAACAAACAAAAAATTCAAGAAATAAGTAGTTCTCATAAAGAATCTAAAGAAAAACAGCCAAACAAGTGAAGGAAGCACTGGAAACAGTTCAAGGCATGAAAGCTGAAAGAGAAACAATAAAGAAAATACAGAATGAGGGGATGCTGGAAATACAAAGGCTGGATAAACAAGCAGGATCTAAGGATGTGAGTATAACCAATAGAATCCAAGAGACAGAAGAGAGAATCTCAGCTATTGAAGACTCGCTAGAGGATATACATTCACCAACCAAAGAAAACCTCAAGTCCAACAAATCCCTAACACAAAATATCCAGGAAATATGGGACACCGTGAAAAGACCAAACCTAAGAATCATAGGTGTAGAAGAAGGTGAAGAAACACTGCTCAAAGGTACAGAAAACATATTCAACAAAATCATAGAAGAAAACTTCCCCAACCTACAGAAGGATATGCCTATGAAAGTACAAGAAGCTTACAGAACACCAAATAGACTGCACCACAAAAAGAATTCCCCTCGCCCCATAATAATCAAAACACCAAACATTCAGAATAAAGAGAAAATATTAAGAGCATCAAAGGAAAAAGGTCAAGTAACATATAAAGGCAGACCTTTCAGAATCACACCTGACTTCTCAATGGAAACTTTGAAAGCCAGAAGGTCCTGGATAGATGTCCTACAAACACTAAAGGTGCATGGATGCCAACCCAGACTATTGTACCCTGTTCTGTGAGGGTGCAGGTTAAGATATCTTTATTCAAGTAATACCAGCCAAGCACAAGCCAGAGCATGCCCAGAGGCAGCAAGCTAGGGAGGCCAGAGAGAGAGCTCCCACGTCTCTGCCGCACCTTAAGAACTCCCCACGAGTCATCCTGAACCTACCCTGACCATGCCCTGACAGGCGTGGTTAAGCATACCTGTAACCAGCTCTTAGGAAGCGTGGTTACAGTGTCTCCCTACAATTCCCCCTTTAGTCTAAAAGAGGATTAAAACTTAATAGTGTAAAACATCCAAAATCAACAATCATAAAGGTGAACTACAAGAAGGTACAATAATCTGCTATTGCACATCCTAACTATGTCTATTCTAGCTAAACCCTAAAGTCATCTGAAAGGGGTGTCCAACCTAAACACCTCCTTCCAATCCCAACCATAAACAATAGGAAAGTTATTCTTAACTAGGCTTACACCACCCTAATAGACAGTAATGGGGAACAGGGGCATAGCATCTTCCAAGTTACTTCCTGATGAAATGGGACGATGGTAGCCTTGTGGGGTCCTGTGGGAAGAAAATGTTAGTATAGTGAAAGTCTCAAATGGGTTAACACCAGTCCATGTTAGATGGGATTTGCTTGATTGAAGATCTAGGTTGAAATGCTCAACTTGATTGATGCCAGTACTCGGAGCTCTGGTCGGAGTGTCAGTTGAAACGGAGTTGAAGTCGGATCCAGTGCAGTCCAGGAGGTATGGCCCAATTCCTTTTCTGGAGCTTCCAGGGATTGTTGTCAGGCGGGTCTTCATTGGCTGTATGGGACTCAAACATAAGTGTTAGCAGAGAAATGTTTGCTTGCATATGTATCTATGCTGGGAAAGGCAACCATGGGAAAACAACAATTATGAGAGAGTGTACGCCTTGAAAGAAAGAGCCAAGAAAAGACAAAAGATAGTCCTCAAATTCTTCATTTATTCTGTATTACATCAATTGGCTTCTTGATATAATACAGAAACTCCAAAGTTGATTAAACAACATGCTTGGATTTCAGGGGAGGAAAGCCAAATCCAACTCTAAATCCAGCATTGATTTATTTGAATAGAGAATAGGAAATGAAGAGAAATAGAGTTATTTGAGAGACAGCTGTAAAGTTTACCGTATGGCATGTTCCTTTTGTTTGATGGTTATAGCTACCTTCTTTTCTTAACTATATACTCATGTAGTGTTCTTGGACTTATGGAGATGAGTTTTCCTGTGAAGATAGAAACAAAGCATTTCTCTTTCCTTTGGGAGGCTTTTATTTAGTTTATGAGATATACCTCAGTAAATACCTGTCAGTCGTCCTTGTCAAGAGGATTGTCTTTTTCAACTGGAATCTCGATCAATTTTGATGGTATCCAAAGTTTTTCTTCTCCAGTAGAAACAAATGCAAAACCCCTACCCCAATGTAACACATGTCCAGGCTTCCATAGCGATGTTAGTACATCTTTGAGGTACACTGGTTGATTCAGTTCATCAGTTTTTTCTGTAGTCCAGTGTCTTTCCTTACCACATCTCCTACACAACCCAGAAGGCAGTGACCTTTCCCATGAGGGATGGTTAGAATTTCTTTGACTACAAGTTCTCCTTATATGTCCCATTCTACCACAGCTGAAACATCTATTCTCCTGACGTTTCTGTGGACTCCTGGAGCGGGCTCTTCCTATTCAAGGGTCTGGTTCATAGTAGCGATGAACCCTAGCCTCTTGATATTTGTATGGATCCATGTAATGTGTTTCTCCTTCCCAAGTCCTTCTGTCATCTTCTTTGGGACTCCTAATCTCCTGCTGCCTTTTGAAACCTCTTGAGACAGCTTCTCCTGCCCAGATTCCAGCATCTTGAATGTTATAGTCAATGTGGCCAGTATGCAGAACCCATTCTTCTAGTGTAGCTGATCTGATCTTCAAAGGCAAAAGTATTCTTCTGCATATTGGGTTTGCATTGTCATAAGCTACAGTATACACAATCGAATGTCTTATCGCTGAATCTGTTACTTGTAAGTCTACTGCTCTGGTCAACCGGTCTAAGAAGTCCTTAAATAGTTCTGTTTGTCCCTGTTCTATTCTGGTATAAGCTTCTAGTCATTCTCCTGGCTCACGAACCTTATTCCATGCGTTTAGTGATGCTCTCCTGAGTAGGGACAGCATACGGTCATCATATTCAGCCTGAACCTGTGGTTCAGAATAAATACCTTC